TTCGAACCTGCCGGCCTCAGTGTATGTGGCCGGCGCCCTAAGCACTGAGCTATGAGCGCTGAGCCTCTTCTCTATTTTTTAATGTTTGAAAATGTTCATAATAAAAGTTTGGTTTTTTAAAAATAGTGAATGAACATGATTGAGCAAAAGTTCAGCAAAGAAGGGTGAATGGCCCTGATAGATAAGCCAGCACCAACGTTGTCAGGCAGGAGCAGGCCCCATGGTTCACTGTCTTTGATTTTGTCTGGTTTCGTTTTTCCAGCTTGATAGACAAATTTCAGGCATACCAGATAACTATTTGAGATAGATACATGTTGTGAAATGAATGCCACGATCAAGTTGGGTAGCAAAGTTATCACAGACACATAGGCCAGTGAGAGCCTACACATTTACCATCAGTAATACATGTATTTAACAAGGGCACCAAGAACACACCGGGGGAAGGAATAGTCTCTTCAATAAACGGTTTTGGAAAAGCTGCATATTCACATACAAAAGAATAAAAATAGACACCTCTTTTATAGCACTCACAAAAATTAACTGCACGTGGATTAAAGACTGTAACACCCCAATGTATAAAACTCCTGGTGGAAAACATTAGGAAAATAAAGTTTCTTGATGTTGGTCTTGGCAATGATGCTCTGGATTTGACACAAAAAGCACAAGCAACAACAAAAAACAGTAAGTAGGATGGGCGGCACCTGTGGCTCAAAGGAGTAGGGCACCAGCCCCATATGCTGGAGGTGGTGGGTTCAAACCCAGCCCCAGCCAAAAACTGCAAAAAAAAGTATGACACCATCATTGTCTTTGGTGTCTCTGTGTGTGTGCGTGTGTGAAAATATGCTTTTATTTTATTTTATTTTATTTTGTTGCCCTTTGGCAGAACGAAATGGCATCACAGCTCACAGCAACCTCAAACTCTTGGGCTCAAGGAATTCTCTGCCTCAGCCTCCCAAGTATCTGGGACTATAGGTGCCTGCCACAACGCCCAGCTATTTTTGGAGACAAGCTCTTGCTCTGGCTCAGGCTGATCTCAAACCTGTGAGCTCAGGCAATCCACCCACCTCGACCTCTTAGAGTGCTAGATTACAGGCATGAGCCACCGTGTCTGGCCTGAAAAATTTGCTTTTTAAAAAAGAATTGTTGGATTCTGCGCCTGTGGCTCAGGCGGCTAAGGCGCCAGCCACATACACCTGAGCTGATGGGTTCGAATCCAGCCCGGGCTGGACTGGGAGAAAACAATGACCGCTGCAACCAAAAAGTGGCTGGGCGTTGTGGCAGGCACCTGTGGTCCCTGCTACTTGGGAGGCAGAGGCAGGAGAATCACTTGAGCCCAGGAGTTGGAGGTTGCTGTGAGCTGTGATGCCACAGCACTCTGCCTAGGGCGACAGTTTAAGGCTCTGTCTCAAAAAAAAAAAACAAAAAAAATTACTGAAACATAGTGACTGTGTATATTTGTGAGGTACATACGATATTCTGATACATGCATAGTGTGGAAAGATCAAATCAGGATAATTAGGGTATCCATCACCTTAAACATGAATCATTTCTTTGTGTCGGGAACATTTCAAATCTTCTCTTCTAGCTATTTTGAAATATACAATATGTTGCAGTCTCCCTACAGTACTATGGAACACTAGAACTTATTCCTTCTATTTTACTGTGTATTTGTACCCATTAACTAACCTCTCTTCATCCCCTACCCCACCCTTCCCAGCCGCTGGTAACCATCATTCTACTCTTCACCTCCATCCATCATCATCTCTAAACCTCTTC